CCTCCGCCGTCTACACTGACGGGAGAGGGGATCACCACCGGCCGCCCTCCGCCGTCTACACTGACGGGAGAGGGGATCATCACCGGCCGCCCTCCGCCATCTACACTGACGGGAGAGGAGATCACCACCGGCCGCCCTCCGCCGTCTACACTGACGGGAGGGGGGATCACCACCAGCCGTCCTCTGCCGTCTACACTGACGGGGGATCACCACCAGCCGTCCTCCGCCGTCTACACTGATGCGGGATCACCACCAGCCGCCCTCTGCCGTCTACACTGACGGGAGATCACCACCAGCCGCCCTCCGCCGTCTACACTGAGGGGAGGGGGATCACCACCAGCCGTCCTCCGCCGCCTACACTGACGGGGGATCACCACCAGCCGCCCTCCGCCGTCTACACTGACGGGAGGGGGATCACCACCAGCCGCCCTCCGCCGTCTACACTGACGGGGGATCACCACCAGCTGCCCTCCGCCGTCTACACTGAGGGCAGCCCTGTCTGTCCAGGTGAGCACAGCAAAGGGCTCCTCCTCACCGTCAGGTTCCTGGACGCGGTGACAAGCTCTGGGCCTTGCCATCATTTAAAGAAGATTCGGACAAATCCTTCCCGGGACCCCCACCCCGGTGCCTGCTCTGGATGAACGCTAGAGGGGAGAGGGAGGCGCAGCTGGGAAGCTGAGGGGCAAGTCTGGGGGTGACTGGCCTGATCCCACCATGCTGGGCGCCACGGGGTCTCAGGGCCCTGTCTCGGGGTTTCCATACTGAGCCTGGACGGCCCTGCCAGAACCGGCCACGGGCAGGTGAGGACCTGGGCAGGGGCCCTGGCGTGAGTCAGAGGACACCAGGTCCTACTTGGGGGATCCGGGGCGCAGAGCAGCCTGTGATGCCCTGGCCCACTTCCTGGGCATGTTCCATGCACACACAGATCTCCAGAGCCCCGGACACGGGTGAGCAGACCCTCCCCATCCCCGGGGCTGTGACCTCAGGGGGATGAGCAGGCACACAGGGATCCTGAGGCTAACGGTCCTGGAGCCTCTCTGGCCTGCTGCCGGTGTCCTGAGTTCCCTGTACCAGAGGGCTGACTTCATCCTTCCAGCATGGCAAGAGGACAGTTACTGAGCTCCTCTTCCCATTTCTCAGGTGAGAAGACTGAGGCTCCAAGGGCTGGAGAACTGTCCACTCGATGCTGCACCCCAGGCCAGGAGACAGGACACACGTGCAGGGGGCACAGCATGCAGTGGAGGGATAGTCCTGAGTCTGAGTCCCGGGCCTGCCCCACCTCACCTGGGCTACTGAGAAGGGAAATAAGATGGGGGACCCCTGCCCACCCCACCCACCAAACCAGGAATTTTCTGCTGTGAGTGGGCCCCACAAGGGGTCAGGGGACAGGCAGGCTGTCTCCCGGCCCTGCTGTTCTGCGCTGTGGCTTTGGCAGTCAGGTCAAGGCTTTGCCGGGAAGGAGTGGGCGGAGCCCGAGGAGCTGGGGCCTGGGGATGCTGGTCCCCTTCCCTCTCAGGGGGCCACACCAGACACCAGGTCACACAGCGCCCCTAGGGGGGAGGGGCAATCACAGGGGCAGACAAGTGAGGGAAGAAGCCCAGGGCGTAAAGGAGAGCTTGGGGGACCCACAGTGCCCTGAACTCTTAGCCAGCTGGGTGGAAGAAGAACAACTCTGCCCGAAAACAACCTGCCCCGTTGGCCCACTGTGGACTCAGCAAGGAAGGGTCGGGCCCAGGCCCCCGACGCAAACCGGGGCCTCTGCTTGTCGTCAAGGCTCAACGCAGTTCAGAGCAGTAATCGACCATGCAGGCTCGCGGGGCCAGGGACAGTGGCAGCCAGGGCATGGTGGCCCTCAGGCCCGGGCCCAGCAGGATGAGCTGAACCTTCTGCCTGGCCCTGCATGCAGGGCTGACATCAGCGGGAGACCAGAGGGCCCGGGCCCAGGAACATGCCCCTGGCTATTCCCCAGCACTCGGGGCCTCCATTAACTTGAACTAACTTTCAAACAAGTCCCCACCCCGCCATCTTATTTGTAAAACAACTTGAGCATAAAATTTGCCTGTGAAACAGTATAGAACAAAGTTATCTGAAAACCTTCACACCAGCTTCTGGGGGCTCTCTGCCCTGCTTGGCAAAAGTTGGGGCTCCTCAGTCTCCACCCCCGGCTTACCCACCCTCCACACCGCAGGAGGAACCAAAAGTGAAAATAAGTTTTGCCCAGTGAGGCAGGAACAGGCACAGACCTGGTTTTCTTTCCATCTGTGCGGGATGAGCCCCCTAAGGGGGCGGGCAGGCCCAAGCTCCCTCTACTGCAGACTTCAACGCCCCCCAACAAAGCCTCTAGCCAGCAGTCCCCATCCCTGGTGGAGTCGCCTCCCCTCGTCCTGGGTCACATTCCCAGGAAGCGCACAAATCCTCCGTGAGCTCCATAATGCTTGGTCCCAGCCGGCAGAGAGCCTGTGGCCCAATCAGGCCCTCCAGGTGGCCCCCGGCCCCCGGAAACAGAGCTGTCCCTTCCATTCTGACGTTTCTAGACTCTCAGCCCCAAGGTGCTGGTGTCTTGAGGAGCTGAGCCCGGAAGCCAGTGGGGCCTGGGACTGTCGCCATCCGTACCACTGCCCTGGTCCCACGTCCCAGCTCACTCCCCTGAACAAGCACACCCCCTTCCCCAGGTGACCCGGCACTGCCCAGTGGGTCAGAGATGCTGAGCCCAAAGGGGGACGTGCTGGGCTGTCCCCATCGGCTCTCTGGGGCCACGTGTCCTGGCTCACTCCCTCCCCTGTAAGGTCCCCCAGTTTCTCCTGCAACGCCAGGGTAAGTCCCAAGGAGGGACGCACAGCTCTCTTGGTCCGTGGTCCCCCCTCACTCCCACGCACGAGGCCTCCCCCGCCCCCAGTCACTTCAGAGTCCCCGGGTGGATCACAGCAGGTGAGCAGCCGTCCTCCACCCCGCGGCCCCTGCCCGCCGCCCCCACACTCACCAGGCGTTTCTGGGGCTGCACCAGTGGCCGGTTGACACCGTTCATCTTGTGGTAGAGGCCGCACGCGTTACACAGGTAGTGGCCCGTGCCGTCGCGGCGCCACAGCGGCGTGGACAGGGCCCCGCAGTTGACGCACTCACGACCCTCTCCGGGGAACTCCTCCAAGAAGTCGGGCACTGGGGGACAGGCAGCTAGTGGGGGACGGCCTCGCACAGCACTGCTTCCCCACGGTCCCCGCCTGCGAGCCACTGTTTTCCCCTGAACTCTTTTATTTTTACTTTTATCTTTCTTTTGCCTTAAATTTGTTTTATTTTAAAACGAATTAATTAAACTTACTTTAGTTTTTAATTTTTAATTTAAATTTACACACAGTAAAATTTGTGCTGAACTTAGAAAAATCGTCAGGGATGCATTTATAAAGGGGTTAATAAATCCAGCCTGGGGGGCCGGGGATCCTTCTCTTCTGAGTCCTTCCTCTACACTGGCAGAGGGAGGCAGCAAAAGGGCTGTGCCCCTTCGGGCCTCGCCCTTGTCCTCTGCAAAGTGGGACAATTTCAGCGGGCTTTGTGTGGCCAGGTTAAACGAGATAGTCTCCATAGGTGAGAGTTAGGATGATTTTTACAGTTTGGATTTTTATAGTTTTTGCTGCGATCATAACCACCAGCCCACCCCGCCACCCACTCGATTTGGGATGGCGTTGCCGTGGACCCCTCTCTGTTGATGCACAGGCAGCAGAGGCGCCCAGTGGGGACAGGCGAGACCAATCCTCCCCTGGCCGGGGGTGGGCACCAGGCAAGAGGCTGCCCAGGGCGTCGGGGGCAGGGGGTCCTGTCGGCTATGCTGGCCAGGTTTCCTGCAGGGGGCGGGGTGGGGGGCGCAGGCCAAGGCTGGCCCAGAGCAGGGCATAAGGGATGGCCCCAGGGGGTCCCTGAGAGCAGCAAACACCCAGGGCGAGGCCCTTAGTTTTGCACGGGCAGCGCCGCTTCCCCGGCAGAAAAAGTGGTGGCGCCGACTACTCGGAACCGGGTGAGCTTCAGAGGCCTGGAATCCGATTATCGAAATTTCTACCCCTGGAGCGATCGAAACCAGGTCTCCAATTATAATACAGAAACATTCCAGAGCAAGGAGATGACTGAGGGGAAGCACTTAAAGAAACCGGGATTCTGAGCTTTGTAAAAATCATTTCCAAAACTGACTTCATAAAAAGGTTCAAGACCTAGGCTCCAGACTGCCAGGATCCAGAATGCGGTTTTGGGTTGGGAAGAATGGGAGACAGGAATAAATCATTCTCTTACTAATGTGTAAAAAAAGACTCTGGATCGGGTCCCCGGGTGCAGAGCTCTGGCGGTGGGGGAGGTCATTTCGCAGGGTGTGGGTTTGCGCCCGGACCCGAGTCAGCGGAGACACCCTCACGCCCCGCACTCACCGAAGGCGGCCCTGCGGCCCGGGAGCCCGGCCGGGCGGCCCTGCAGGCCAGGCAGGACACTGGTGTCGAAGGGTCCAGCGGCCCAGGTCGGGGCCACATCGGGGCTCACGTAGGCCGGGTAGGCGCTGGGGAAAGAAGCGCCCACGGGCCGCCCGAGAGGAGCCGGGTACTGCTCGCGACCCAGCAGCGCACCCTGGTAGGCGCCGCCGTCCCGGCCCCCCGCCCCGCCGCCGCCTGGCCCCGGGGGACTGTGCGCGAAGGGGAAGGCGGCAGCCCCGGGCGGCTGCGCAGGCGGCGGGGGCGGGCTGCCTGCGCCAAAAGCGGACGAGTCGGCAGCTGCCTGCGCCCAGCCGGGGTGCGCTGCGAGCGCGGCGGGCTGCGGGCCCGGCTCGCACGCGGGCAGGTAGGGCAGCATGGAAGGCACGCGCGCCGGCGGCACGAACACCCGGGAGCCAGTGCCGGGCGCGTGCAGGAAGGCGCCCGAGTCGGTGTAGGCGGCCTGGCTGGGGCTCGGGGCCAGTGCCAGGCTTTGATACATCTTCCCGGGCGCAGCCTTGACCTGTAGGGAAGAGGGACCGGAGTCAGGGTCACAGCTGCGTGCGGCCCCCACCAGCGCAGGCGCTTTTGCCAGACAGGTGCCAGCGCTGGGGCCCTGCGGCCTGGCTGCTCCCAGCACGGCTCTGGAGCCGACGAGGGCGGGCCTGAGCGGCGTCCCCATGGCGGCCCGAGTGCCAAGCCCACCTCCTCCACCGCCGGGCCTCGGCGGTCCCGGGGTGACAGAGTGGGGACGAGGAAGGGCCTGGGGCGCGGAGCTCAGCGCCCTGGGGGCGGGCTTTGGGACTCGGCACTCACCGGCAGTCGCGAGGGTCGGGCCAGGGCCGGAGGGCGCGGCACAC